ATACGAATTTGAAGTGACACAAACAGGAACGTTTTGGTATCATTCACATAATGCACAACAATATGCGGATGGTCTTGTAGGACCAATTATATTCGATCATGATCCTATTGAACAACGATACAATTATGGAACCAATGATTATGTTATTATGCTTCAAGAATGGTATCATGAAACTTGGTCTGACTTGATGACAGCATATCAAGGTCCTTACGGTGCCTATCCAGGTAGTATTCCAATCTATCCATGGCCTCCAACTTCCTTCTTGATTAATGGACATGGACAATTCAATTGTCGTACATCCGATTGTAATGAAAATGCTACATGGAGAGATGAATGTGGAAGTGAATATCCTGTTCAATGCGTTCCTTTACGACCACCATTTCTTGGTCCATGCAAACAAAATGCACATCCTATCGATGAATTTATATGTCCATCTGGAAAACAAATTCGCCTACGATTAATTAATGCTGCCAGTGGTATTCCTTTTCGTTTCGAAATCGATCAACATAAACTTACAATTGTTGCACGAGACAGTATTGAGATTTCACCAATTACTGTTTCTCATCTACATATACCTATTGGACAACGACTTGATGTGATTGTCACATGTAATCAAAATCCATCAAAGTATACAATACTTATTGCTAGTCGAAATAGTTTTCAGCCTTCACATATCATAACTGGACCAACGCCAACAATGTGGGCAACAGCATTACTTACTTATCCAGAATCTAAAGTCAAAAATATTCATTCAATCAATATATCTGAAATATTGCGTGTTGACTCGGATAATCCATTCTTTGAGTATCAAGCATTGAACCCAATTGTACCTCGTTTTGCTCGGCCAGCTATTCGACGAATAGCACTCTCTTTCGTCTGCCATTGGAATAATCGATTAGGAATCGATGCTTTAGAGGAATGGGCTGTCAATAACATCACTTTCGAACCACCAAAAGAACCTCTTCTTCAAGGAAATTTTCTTGATAACACACTTGATCATGTTATTGCAGATGAATATCCTGGGCATGTCAATAATATTCATGCTACTCATATACATCATTTTGAATACGGTCAAACATATGAGGTACTTATGATTAATAATGATCCTCAGCAACATCCATGGCATCTTCATGGATATTCAGTTGATTTTATTGCTGCTGGAAAATTACCACATGTTCAACCATTAACATGCAAACAAACTCAACGACGACAAATCAATGAATTTGATCTTGATTCAATACTACCACTACTTAATTCTACACCACCTGTTCTCACTGTTGGCGATTCATTTAGTATTCCGCGAGAAAGCTATATTCTCTTTCGATTCACAGCAAATAATCCAGGTCCATGGTTTTTTCATTGTCATATGGATTGGCATATATCGCCAGGTATGGCTCTTGTCTTCTCTGTCGGACAAAATAGAAAATATAAAGGATTAATTACACCACCACCATCAAACAATTTTCCAATATGTGGACCAAGATCTAACTTAAAATACAATTCAAGTACATTATTATTCTCCTCGTCCACTACACCTAAACTAAAAATCTCTCTATTGATTATTATTATTCTTCAGACATACTATCGAACATTGTAAAATCAAACCATCTTTTCTAAAGTACTACAATTTTGTGAATTTATTATAACAAAAGACAAATATGATTACAAATGCTTTCTTATGTTATTTTATGTCATCAATGTTTCTATTTGAGAAGCGATTTTTACTCGATTTCTCGAGCTTTTTCGTAATATGAAAGTGCTTTTGCGTGCTCGCCCATCTTTTTATACAGCGCAGCCATGTTGTTGTAAGAAGTAGCCATGTTAGGATGATTCGGGGGGAGAGCTACTTTCCGAATTTCAAGTGATCGTTCATAATATTGAAGTGCTTTCGAGTATTTGCCCATGTTAGAATAGACGAAGCCAATATTGTTGTAGGCACTAGCCAAGTCAGGATGATTCGGAGGGAGAGCTACTTTATAGATTTCAACTGCTCGTTTGTAGGATGAAAGTGCTTTGGAACAATCGTCCATGTTATAATACACTGCAGCAATGTTGTTGTAGGAAGTAGCCATGTCAGGATGATTCGGAGAGAGAGCTATTTTGCCGATTTCAAGTGCTTGTTCGTAATATGAAAGTGCTTTTGCGATCTCGCCCATGTTTCTATACGCTCCACCAATGTTGTTGTAGGCAGTAGCCAATTCAGGATGATTCGGTGGAAGAGCTACTTTGTAGATTTCAAGTGCACGTTCGAAGGATAAAAGTGCTTTTGCGTGCTCGCCCATGTTATCATTCACTAATCCTATGTTGTTGTAGGAAGTAGCTATGTAGGGATGATTCGGAGGGAGATTTGTTTTGTAGATGTCAAGTGCTTGTTCGAAGGATGAGAGTGCTTTTACATACTCGCCATTGTTAAAATACATATCTCCGTCGTTGCTGTATGAAAGAGCTTTCGCTGGTAGATTTTTGTCCATGATGATCCTATAAATATAGTAGTAGTTAGTATGTAGGTAGTATAATGTCGTACGCATAGAGAGTGATACAATCGGTTAGGTAACTAGAACCGAAGAAGTCAGAGATTTTCTCGAACATGTTTAGAACAAACTAAGATATAAAACTGCCCATGAAATATCACACTGGAAAATAATCGCTGAGAATAACACGTTAATATCAATCTTTTTCATTGCTACTACATGTCACTAGTTCTCACATGAGTTCAAAATCAATCATTACTTACAATTAGAATATCGTTACTGATTGAATGCGCAAGGTCGTATTTTGTTTGATGGACGGCATATTATGTCATTTATTTATACATTGTTTTTAATTAACGTTTGTTTACGTGTACAAGAGAAATATGACGCACGAAGAAGATGCGTTCGTTACAGTCATTATCTGTATGTTTTTTCTGTCACGCTATCGATCGCCCTTTGGACTGTATCTTTTGCGTCATCGTCGTCTTCTCATAGTGAGTAGGTAGTAGTGGCGTATCCAAGGCCTGGCATGGCCTGGCACTGCCAGTCCACCGGTACTTTTTGCCAGGCCACCGAGAAAAATTTTACTAAGTATTTTATTTTTTTTATACTGTCGATGAAGTGACATAAGACTATATCTCTGATAATGAGTGACATCAGAAGAATACTATAAATAACTGAACAAGTCAATAGGCAGTGGCGTAAACGCTCAACATTTCAAGTTTTAAGAGGAGGAAGGCGCAGCACCCTTTTTGCTTAAATCTAACGCAAAAAACCGTGTAAAAACCCTTTTTTGATTTTATAGATCAAAGAAAAACTAAAATTTTCCTAGAGCAAAGAGGCGTAGTGCCCCATGCGTCGACCTCACTCAGTAGACCCTTTGTTTCGCGTTAGATTAATCTTTTTTTAAAACACTGAAAGATTACAGACTGATTTTGAATCATCAGAAAATTATCAAGTGATACGCAGGGCTGTCGCAATGTTAAAGATTGGGGGAGGTCGAAAAATTTCGAAAATTCTTCAGAAACTTCTGCAAACTACCAAAATTTTTAACAAAATTAGAGATTTTTTGAAAATTTCTGAAGGTTTTTGTAAGTTTTTAACGATTTTCGCAAACTTTTGCAAAGTTTTTATAAATTATCAGAATTCGTTCGAAGACTTCAGGAAATTTCTAAAGACTTTCTCAAAAACTCGTCTTGAGTTTTTGGAAATTTCTTAATAATTTTTAAAAAATGGTGAGCAATAAAAACAAAATTTCTAAAGATTGGGATGAATACCGCCCCCACCCCCCTCCGATCGCGACACCCCTAAGGATATGGTAGGTTTTAGAAATTTTGTAAGGCATTGCCAGGTCACCGATCAAATCCTGGCTACGCCACTAGTAGGTAGACGCATGGTAATAGAATCCTACACTTCTGCATTGACGTTTTTTTTCATAAAAAAAAATAAATGAAAATAAGAAACTATCTTGAGGGTGAATGTGGATGCACTTATTGTATTAAGCCTATATCCATATCCACACTCACCCACATCGTCTATCTAGCGATAGGTAGTAGTTATAAAGATAAAAATGACGGCAAATCAGTTCGCCTATAATCAAAGTGAGAATAACAAATGGGTTCTCAAATATTTTCATAAACAAAATAAATTTCTACCAATTTAAAAATATATATTTGTGATACATAGGAAAACATTGAATCATTTTGACGTTAAATTAAATTTTCAAGGAAAAAACTAAGAATATTTTTCTTGATTTTTTCATTGGTTTTTAACAATAAAACTTGACTTCTTTTGTTTTTATTTATTAATGTTTTATTTAACAAAAAATTTCATTCATAAAATTATCTCAAATTTTTGAATTCGATGATTATGACAATCAGCAACATAAAGATTACCTTCATCATCAAAAGATAAACCACGGGGACGATTCAATTGATTTGATTGATTTCCTTGGCCATCTCCACCAACAATGATTTCACCTTCATCTTTTCCTTCAAACCAGCGCATTATTCGATGATTTCCACAATCTGCCACATAGATTTGACCAAAAGCATCAACAACTACTCCTTGAGGATAAGACAATTTATTGAGACTTCTTCCTTCACCATGTCCTCCAGCAACAATTCTTCCTTCTTTTGCATCTTTTCTCCATTTCATCACACGGTGATTGTTTTGGTCTGATACATAAACAGATTCATCTTCATCAACAAAGATAAAACGAGGATGACTGAATTGATTGAGCTTATTTCCTTTGCCATTTCCACCAGCCACTACCATTCCTTCATTGTTATATTCTCCCATTTTCCATCGTCTCACTTCATTCTTTTCATTATCAGAAACGTAAAGATATCCATGTTTATCTATTGCTAAGCCCACACAGTCAATATTATTAATGAGAATTTGTTGCTTTTGATTTAATCATTGAATCACTCGTCTATTTTCAGAATCAGCAATGATAATCGAATGTTTTTGTTGATCAACAATCACAAATTTTGCCTCATTCAATTGATCTATACGATTTCCTTGTCCATTTCCACCTGCAATGATTTTTCCTTTCTTTGTATTATATTTCCATTCAATAATACGATGATTTGCATAATCAGCAATGAAAATATTTTTCTTTTCATCAACAAAGATTCCATAAGGGAAATTAAGTTGATTTAATTGTTGTCCTTGTCCATTTCCGCCAGTCACAGTGATGACATTTGGTTCTAGAAAACGATGAAAACAAAAGATTTTCACGAAAAGAAGAAGAAAAAAAGAGAAGATCAATTTTGAATAAAATGCTAAATGAAAAAACATATTTTCTTTTATTATTTTTGTTGAATTTTGAAAGATAATTTATTTGCCAAGCAAATTGACAAAAAATTAGTTTGAAAAGAAAACAAAAATTGAAAATGATAAAAGATTTTGTTGATTTTATAGAAAATCAAAATTTGTCTTTTACAAACTATTTTTAAAAAACTTACTTTCAGAAATTTCATTAATAAACGATTGTGAATTTTGTTGAATAGAAATATGTGTCGGATTATTTAATTCTCGTGTGATTTCTGTTAATCGATTTCTTAAATAATTTAAATTAATTTCATTGAAATCATTTTCTTTATGAATTTGTTTTATTTGTTCAGATAAATCATTAAGCTTCTTTTCAATATCATTAATAAATGTTTGTGCTTTTTGTTCATTAATTCTTTGCTTAAATTCATTATATTTATCGGCAATATGATTTAGTTCATCATTTAACATTTGTTGATGTTCTGCTAAATGTGTTCGACAAAATTCTTTTAAACATCCTTTGCAAAGATATGTAATTTTGTCTCTATTACATGTAAAACATTGTGTTTTGTTGTTTGCTATTGCCATGTCTTTCAAGATAAATTTGTAAATCAAATGAGCATCTATGCTTCTCTATTTATATATATATAAACTTATAATGACTGAATAATATTACGAAATTGCTCGAAAGGAAAACAAATCAAAAAATTAGTAATTATGGCAAAATCCCAATGACAAGATGAAAGGATGTTTTAATGAAGGTTGACGGTGCCGATGTGGGTATATTTCTTTAGTGAGTTCTCATTGATTCACACGCACCCACGTAAACGCTTTTTAAAATTTATTTAATCTTATAACTTTCATATATATATAACACTTTATTCTTATTATTGAATTTCAGTACAGCAAGAGATGAAAGAATGAAACTCTTATGATAATACTCTTTTCTTAATCCTTTCAGACCCAAATTATTTTTTAGAACAGCTTATTTTAGTTACAGAGATATATACCATTAATAATCGGCGTATTCTCACGTGTTATTTTCATCAATTTCAAGATCACTATCAGTTTCGTCATAAAAATCGTATTTCTAATCAATAGATCAGTTGTTTGTTATACTTTCTTGGCTAAAAACCATTTCTGTACGTTTTCGATAATGATTATATTTTATGAGTAAACTACGGAAGAATGGGTGTGGGTGTGGATATTCTTTTTATCCACTCACCCAGACCTTCAAAAGATGTAAAGGTGACGTGTGCCACATAAATATTCTGCAAAAGTTCCAGAACACTCTTTATCGCCTTCTGTCAAGAGATTTTATACTATGAAACTGAAAGGGTTAAATACCTTTAACAATATATAATCTCATTATCGAAGTAAACATTAAATAAATTCCCACTAAACAAATATAAATATGATATTTTTTCTCTCGGAAATAACCTTCGCGTGTCATTTTTTTTCATCTCGTCATCATTTGTGTAATGTGAGATCAATTTATATAATAACTTGATACATCTGTTTTCTTCCTGTTCTTGACAAAATTACGACGAAAGAAGAAAAGAAATGTACAAATACTGAATCATAATTTGTTTCATTCAAATAAAATAGTTCGTAATACGAAATGTAAAAACAGTTAATCACGTTGAAATAATCTACATGATGATCAATCAAAACAATTCGTACTCCAGAGACATGCTATTCATTTTGTGTAAATTTAGATTGATATGAATTGCATGTTTTTATTCACTCCCTAGGGAGAGTATTCATAAAGAATAGATTTGCTAGTACATTTACATCCGTCAACAATATAAAAATAAATCAGATTGATCTGAATATTCCTAAAGTCTATTGTACATTATTAAATATTATATAAGAATTGAAAACAATAATTTAACCATATTTTACCACATTAGAGTCGACGACAAAGCTTAATCATTGGAAAGTTATTCGTTTATAATTCAAATTAATTTAACTACTAACCCGTTCTCATTTTATTCTATTTCGTTCACACCCTTTTTTAACCAGTTTTCCTATAAATTAAGACTCCTTCATCAATGCATTCGAGAACAATCTGATAATAATTATATCTGAATAAATAAAGAACATATCGTGGGTGCAGGAATATGACTGTATATAGATGCAGTCAAAATAAACATCTAATTAGTCATGTCTATACTCAAAACTTCACTTAGTATTACATCCACACTGCCAAGATGCAATCGAAAAAAGGTAGTTTCGAAATTTCTATGTCATAAACTATGCGAATGATTCATGTGTGTTGATTGACACGTCGACAATATTTGCTTCCAAGTTACTCATTTTCATTGCATCAGAATGAGTAAAAAGTGTCTATTAGTTATATGCGATATAAATAGTCGTATTGAAATCATACATTCACTTAATACATTTCATTTCAAAACAATACCAACGATGGAGATAATTGAACAACTGCTATCAGCTCATGATGATTTTTCACGAGAATCTCAGAATAATGACGATGTCGATCGAGTAAGATTACAGTTTTATTTTTAAAATTTCATAGCCCGCGAACTCCTCCAAATGCGGGTGAAATGGAGGTTGTCCCATTTGCATGGGCGTAAAAATATTTCTTGCTTCTTGTTAATGAATTTTTAGATTTTATCAATCCAATATGAAATATTGGATGTCAATCAGGTATGTAAATATGTTATTAAAACAAGAGTTTAATGAAAGAAACGATTACGCATCTTGAGGGTGTGGGTGTATGTGTATCATACTAATTTCTAATTCTAAAATAGTTCAATACAATGGTTTTTCTTTTTGAACAAGAAATCTACTTATAGGGATATGTTTTGTATTGAACAATCTGTTTTGTTTATGTAGATAAAACAACAATACTTCAAACGATTATCAGATGTACTTGCCAATTGGCAAGTCACTGATGTTCGTACTGTGCCAGGTGTCATGTATCAAGTTCGTTGTGGTCATGATGAGTTCGATCAAAGTATTGAATATCAAATCAATTGGTTTTTTGATTGCGCCGAAACAATTATTCATAATCATCGACATTCATTTGATAGTTATTGTTTAGAAGGAGAATATATAGAAAAGTTATGGGAGATAGTTGATGATGCTGATGGTGCTATGACATATCAATTTCAACGTAAATCAAACGCTACATTTGATCTATGTAAAACAATACCTGGTACTCTTTGTCATATAAAAACTAGACACCACTTTCCAGGCAATATACTACATGTTGATACGAGCCAATTCCATTCAATATCATCGCTTGTTGGTTCCAGTAGTCGAGTTCTAACATTTTTGATCAAGAAAAACTATTTTCCAGCATCAGATATATTTGCACTTAGTATGACACCGGAGATAGAAGTGCAGGATAATGAAATTCGACAAGCAACAGATGATGAACGACAAGTTATGTATGAGAAACTTCAGCAATTACAAAAGACAAGTCTTTGTCAATAGTTCACTGGATTCGATATATATATGTATGTAATAATCAGATCTGATAATCAATAATATGACTGACTCAAATACTTTTTTTAAATAATGTTACTTTTACTATATTTTAATCTCTCATGTATTTTTTATTTTAATTATATCGTCATTTTTGACCATGTAAGTGATTATTTGTGATATCTTAGATGTTATCGTCTAGATAGTGCTATACATTTTCAATCTTTGAATAGATACAATTATGTACAAAATAATTATTTATAATAATTTCTGTGCTTATTAATGGTTGATAAAAATAAGATTTTTTAGAACAATTAATGAGATGATTTTGATTCCACACAATATAATGCTCTTGATGTATTTAGAAAATCGATACAAGAAAGTTCATGATCTTTTAATGAAATGCATTAGGATTCAGCATAAAGAACTAATTACTTTTGTTCATTTACACTCAAATCACTTAAAAATATTATGTTATTTAGTACAAGATATTAAAAATTGATATAACATTTATTTATACATGACTCAATCTTTTTTGTTGAAAATAAATAAATATTTAAATGAAAAATGAAACTAATATGAATTAACTTCCTTAAAATGATAGGGTGTGGGTGTGAATGTAATGTAAGTGTTAGTAAAGTATGTATGGCAGATCCATTCATACGCCCAAACCCACACACCCATCCACATCCACGACCACATTCTCTCCTACTCCAACTAAATGTGAATGACGTAAGCCACGTCGCATAATTAATTCCATACGATAATCAAAATTCATTTTCTGAAATACACTTTCACTCAAAGATTAAAAAAACAGTATTTTTGCCTTCTTTAAAATGATGAGGTTCAAAAAATGACTGAATAACATATTTCATATCAATACCTTTATTGTAAAGATTAATATTATACTTTATATAATTGGAAATGGATTGTTCCGGACAGTTCAATCTAAATAAATATGTAGAATAATATAAACTAAACTAAGCATTAAACTCATATTTACTTCTCAAAAAGTACATTCATATGACAATATGAATCTGCATTATACAAAACTTCATCATCTTGATCAATTTTTGACGATAAGACGTTTAATATCATATTGTAAATCTCTTTTTCTAATCCTGGTCGCGATAAATATTCATTTTATTTAATACACAACGAGACAAATCCCTAAAAAAAGCATTTTAATAAAATATATATTATCCTTATCCACAACACATCTTCATTTTATTATATTTATCAATGATATCAATGCTAATCCAATAAATTTTACTATGATATTAAACCGATGTTATTTTTACTCTATCGTTAAAAAATATCAACTCCAATGAAGAATATTATATGAATATATTAAATCAACGTTATTTATATTACATTAATTACTATGAACAATTTTAACTCAACATACTATATTATTACGCAACAACATGTAATTTATTCGAACCATTACCACATATTCCATATTTTATTAATCGAATAACAACTGAACAAACTTTACAACAAATTATTGAAGCTGCAATAACATCCACCGAATTTATAATTGATACTGAATCAATAAATATTTGTCAAATACGAAATGAATCAGCATTAATATAATTACAAATTATTTTACCACATGATTATTCACTTGCATTATTAGTAGAAATATGTCATCTTCCAAATATTAATAGTTCTTGTTTTAAATTAATTAAAGAATTATTTCGAATATCATTTTCTCGCGAAAAAATGATTTATATTTGGGGATAAAAAGACGAATTAAATCTGTTTGCAATATACAGTTTATTTTCGAAGAAATAAATAAATGGTATGCAACCAATCAATTTTCAGGCTGAATTCATATTATTCTAGAATAAACAACATCAACATCAGTCATTAACAAATTATTGTACTTGTGGAGAAATGTTTTGGAAAAAATTCAGGTGATATATGATCGCTTCAAGACGCAGTGGCATATGAATTAAAAGAATATCTATCAAAACAATTAACAATAGGTAGTTTTAATATTGGTTTAGATCCAGATCTATATTATATGAACGATAACGAAAAATATTATCGTAAAGAACTTGCCATTTATGCTTTATATGACTGTCTCTTGATGCATAAAATTTGAATTAATATAAAAATTAAAAAAT